TTAAAATATATTTTCATTGATTTCAGAGAGGAAGGGAGAAGGAGAAAGAGATAGAAACATCAATGATGAGAGAATCATTGATTGGTTGCCTCCTGCATGCCCCCTACTGGGGATCAAATCTGAAACCCAGGCATGTTCCCTTGACCGGAATCAAACCCAGGACCTTTAGTCCACAGGCTGATGCTCTATCCACTGAGCCAAACCAGATAGGACTATATAAGTTCTAATAACAGAGAGGAAAACAAAGTTTAGATAGCCCCAAAATATACTATGAGGAGGAGTTAAGAGGAAAGGACAAAAGATCATCAGACTGACTGCTTTCATTAATTTTACTTATGAAAAAAACCAACAACAGAAAATATAATTAAAGTTCAAACTATAATAGACTTGAAAACAAGAAGTAGGATGGTGGTGATGAAAGTAATCTTAAGGGTGTAGGAGAATATGGCTGTAAAAATCCTTCCAAAAGGAAAAAATGGATAATGATGATTCCAATGGTGGCAGCAGTGGTGGAAACATTTACTGTGCACTTACTAAGGATTAAGCATTCTGTCAAGCTGTTTAGATGCACTAATTTAATAGGAATCCCAGTTACACTATTATAAAGGCCATTATTAACTCCTTAAATAAATTATAGAACAAAAGAATTAAGTGACCTGATCAGGTTCTCAAAACTAGTAAGTGGTTGAGCCAGTATTCAAGTTAGGTCTGTTTACTTTGGAGCACAAATTCATAAGCATTATTTAGACTAAAGAATAGCAGATCTGTTCACAATTTTATTATAATCTCTGCACAGAAAATCAAGTCTTATATTGGCCATGAGTTTCTAGGTCTCTTACCTACTTCCCAATGGTATAATAAGTGAAAAATAGAAGCCTCTCAACAGTGGAAAAACAGCATAAAATTTTTCTACTAAAATTTATCAGAATCTATACATTTATATGTCTAAAATTTACTTTCCAAAATGTTAAATTGCTTGACTTATTAGAAAATGCTAACACAAACTTTGAAGGGAAAAATTAATGTCTATAATTACTGATCTTTTTCAACTCTGAAATAAGCTTGTTTTGTAATTAGTGGAGTTTCTTATCACATGCAGTAAGAATTAAAATGCTGGTTATTTAAAGCAAGGACTAAGATACTTTATGTTTCCAAAAGGACCTGTTAATAAATTAGTTCATTATGTAAGTAATTGACATAGATGAGTGTGTGTTTTCAGCCTATTACATTGACCTAACTGCAAACTAAAGGGAAGGAAAAAGATTATTTTGTGTCTTTTATATGATTATAAACTTGTCCTCATAAAATATAACAAATAAAGGTAAATTTACCTTGTCATTTTATATTCTACTAGAGGCCCAGCACACAAAATCATGTGGGTAGGGTCCCTAGGCCTAACCTCCTGCAATCAGGGCTATCTTCTGCCCATTCACCAATACCCAAGCTGAATGCTGCCTCCTCCGCTGGGCTCTCAGGCTGTTAGGATCACCAGCTCAACGCTGGCTTCAGCTGCTCGGGGGCTCCGGCCTGTGGGAAAGTGTGTGCCGGAGACTTCACCTCCATGTGTGTGTGCTGGGTCACCGCTGATGGAATGCGCTGCCGCTATTGCTATTGCCCCTGGGGCACTGACTGAAGCTGTGGGGCGCACCCGCAACCTACCTGCCCCGGCATGAGCGGCCTCGAGCAGGCAGCGCAATCCATCAGCAGCCAACCCAGCGCACACGCATGGAGGTGAAGTCGCCTGCACTTGCTTTCCCACAGGCCTGAGCCCCCCAGCAGCCGGGGATGAGCTGGTGATCCCAACGACCTGACAGTCAACCTAGTCCTCCCGCCACCCAACCCAATTCCCCCGTTCACCATTGCTGACTCATCGGAGCCTGCAGGCAGGGGAAGGGACCGAGAGGTGCTCAATGCACCTCATGATAACCGGTCATTTGGTCATCTTGGTCATCACAGACACTGGCTTTATATATATATAGATATGCCCTTAAATCACTCAATTTATCAGGTGTACCAGTTAATAATGGTGGATTTTGTAATCAAAGAAAACACGATAATTTCAAGAGAAACATCAAAAGTGCTTTATTCAAAGTAATGTCCATCACTAGCTACACATTTCCCCATCTTTCAGGTAATTTGTGGATACCATCCCTATAGAACTTTTCTTGTTTTGAGGCAAACCATTCAGAGACCCAATTTTCCACTTCTCTGTACGTTTTGAAGTGCTGTTCAGAAAATGCATGTGCCATCGATTGTGTCAAGTGGTAATCTGAAGGAGCAAGGTCTATTGAATACAGCGGGTGGGTTAATACTTCCCAAGCGTTGACCTGGATCAACCCCTGATTTTTGTGTGTTTGGGATTCTCAAAAGAAATCCACGTTTAATCTCCAGTCACAATTCGATGCAAAAAAGACTTTCTTTTGTGCCGTTGAAGCAACATTTTACTGATGACTTTTCGGTTTGCCATTTGTCTTTTGTTCAGTTGATGTAGCACCCGTTTTTCTTCCTTTAAAATCTTTCCCATTGCTTGTAAATGATCGGAAATTGTTTGCTGGGCAACGTTTAATCTTTCTGCAAGTTGTTATTTACTTTGACATGCATCTTCATCCAATAATGCTTTTTAATAGTTGGTCTTCAAACTTTTTCAGTTGACCTGGACGTTCTTTATCTTTCATATCGAAATCATCACTTTTAAAGCATTTAAACCAGGGTTCACAAGTATCTTGAGATGGAGCATGTTCACCATAAGCTTCCTGAAGTATATGATAATTTTCAGCAGCATTTTTCTTCAACATAAAGTAATGAATTAAAATTTCCCACAAATGCTCTTTTTTGGGAACAAAATTCAACATTTTTAAACGTAAAAATATCTATGATGTTAACACCTTCAGAAAATTTGACACATGAAGTTTTGAAGCTTGCTGTCAATACAACAAAATAGCATACATGTCAAATCACATATATATCAACATATGTGCAATTCCATCTATTGAAAAAAGTCCACATTATTAACCGGTACACCTGGTAAAACATGAAATAATATAAAGCATAAAATATAAATATAGCCTCCCTTGCTATTAAAAAATCAGAAAAATTACACATGCATTCAGATGTAGACTGCTAACTGACTTAAAACAGGAAGGATATAACTTTTAAAAAGAAATAATAAATACTACTCATGTGAGTAAACCACTAAAAATTTTTGAGAAAAAAAAAATGTCAAGGAGAAATCCCCTGTAGTTCATAAGGATCCACATCAATGCTGAAATCAGGAATGCAATCAATTTATTATTTGTCAAATTAAATACTAAATATAACTAATTGTTAGCAGAAAAATATCTAAAAAAAGTAAATTAAATGATTTTTAGTCAACAAACCATATATATCAATTGAAAGAAATTTAACATTAAGTCTTCTTTCCTAGATTGTTTGTATGTCAGCTGATTTTCTTTCTAAGTCATGAAATAGATGCACATGAGCAAGATAAGGGCCCCTTAAGAGGAACATACAGTATTTAGGTACTTGTACTGACCGGCTCAGAATCACAGCAATAATCATCCCAGCTCTGTCTGAGGGGTTTCTTTGTTATCTGAAAGTAAGGCAGATATAATAGTTATTACACTTTTCTAATAATCTCATAGTGTTCAGATGTCACTGATGCTATCCAAAAAAAGTTATTTTGTATAACAGCATAAAACAAGAAACAACCAGGTAAACATTCCAATTCTGAGGGATCATATATTATTATAACCACTAGAGGCCCGGTGCACTGGAATTTTCATGCACTGGGAGGAGGGGTGTCCCTCAGCCTGGCCTGCCCCCTTCACAGTCCAGGGGCCCTCAGGGAATATCCTACAGATGGCTTAGGCCCACTCCCCACCGTTTGGCCTCCCTCTGCAGGAAGTGACCAGGCTAATCAGGGGAAGGCAACACTCCCATCACCTCACCGCTGCTGCTCCCTCGGGCCTCCCTCTGCGGGAGGCAACCAGGCCAATCAGGGGAAGGCGCCACCACCATCACCCTGCTGCTGCTGCCACTGCCAGCCACCGCAGCTGCCGGCCCTCCTCAGCCCTCACAGCCACTGCGGCTTTGTCCAGAAGGACATCCGGAAAACATCCAGTCTATCCAGTTTAACTAGCATATTACTCTTTTATTAGTATAGATACTTACTATTGTCCAGTGACTCTGAGATTTTTATTAACTGCTGAGTCTCATATTTATGAATACTGACCTAATGACAAGAATGCATATGGCATGGCCACCGATTACAAAAAATCTGGAAGAACAGTAACTCTAAACTTCTCTAATATTAACAACTATCAGCTCATTTGTGGGCAATTACTACTTTTTAAAAATAAATATATTTAATTACCCAAATATAATGTAAATCATTTAAACATGGGAGGAGGTAAAATCAGAAGCCCCATCAATGTTTTTTTGTAAAAAATACTACTTAAGTCTATATATGACAAGTGCCTAGTATTATATCAGGAAGTGATATTTTTAATAATTTCATAGTTCTCAATATATCAATTCGAAGTTATTTCAATGTCACTTCAAAATTAAGAAATACCCATTATACAGCAGGCTTTTTCTTCAGAAAAGTCTAAGATGTTTCTTTCATAACCCTAAATACATACTACAATCTTTCAGCCATTATCAAAGTGTCAATTTGCTTACAAAAACTTCATAAGGATTTTTTAATTACCATAAAGGAATGTCTTTCCATAGATATTTTTGCCTCAAAAAATTAAAATAATAAGAAGGGGACATTGATGTACTATCATACCAATTCTATTAATGTTGGTCCTAGATTTTTGCTAATATGAGAAATAATAAACTTAGTGAAATCAATGTAATGAAAAGTTTTGATAATTAGTATTTACTATGGAAGTTTGGGAGTATGATGTGAGTTTCAAGGAAGATAGAAATTTTCTAAGTCACTCCTTTGATAGATTTCATATTGAGTGTTTAACAGGATCATTCACTAAATTATAAAAATAATAATACCTTAAGTCAGTATTACAGAATCATGCAGAGAGGGGTATGTATTAGACCTCAAAACATGCAAATGAAATCTCAAGTAATCCCTTGCAAAGGTCAAGCATTAAGCATTAGTATCATTTAACATGGGTGGTCTGTAAAAGGTAAATTACTTTTGAGACAATAAACCATTTTTCTAACATGGAGATACCTATAAATAGTTTATTTTCTTAAAGAGTCTCAAAAAATGCAAAAGGCACACATATAACTAATCTTTTAAAACTCATGAGAGTAATAATTTTTAAATTTGAGAACTACATCACACAAATTTTTAGATTGCATGTTTTGAAATACTAGTTAATATCCATTACCAGATTTGGAAAACAAAGTACTGAAAAAAAAGAAAGAAAGAAAAGAAAACTGTTAGTAAGAGCTAAAATTTAATAATGTCCTACATTTGAAAATGCTTTTCATTAATGCTTACCTGATTAAGATAATGATATTCTTCTGGTTGTTTAAGATGGAATGCTAATCTCTCTTCTTCACTTGCTCCTGCCAGGAGGTAATAGAATACATGATAGTTCCTGTTGGAAACAAAGAAGCATGGTTTTATAATGAATATAATCTATGGTTATCATTTAACTGGGAAAAAAGCAAACATTAATTACTAAAATGTTTCAGCTTTGCTTCATTTTTAATACAAAGGTGATAAGCTCAATATTTAAGTACTATAAAATAAAATAATGTTTTGGATGTTGAATTCAAAGCAGAGGGCTGAAGGCAAGAACATGGCAAAGTTATAACCTCTGAAAATTCTCTCCTTCATAAACCAATTAGAATACTTAGCAAATTTGTCAAAAATCAACTTTTTAGAACTCTGGAAATTAACAGGTTTACAGCAATCCAGGAAGTGTTTATATAAGAGAAACGGCTGAATCTCAGTAAAACTGGTAAGCTTTGTGGCCTTTTAACTTGTCCTACTCAACCTGCTGCTTGTCAGATCTATGGTAGCCTTCAAAACCAACAGTTTACAATCCTGGTCAACACCGAAGCCTGGCAGTCTCCAAAGGAGAGCCTGGTTCCATAAGAAATATCATTATCAGAACTGTCTGGAAGAACCCATATTCAAAATTGTCCTTATTTGACCTGACCCAAAGTAAAACAAGTGTGAAAATCTTTTCCCCAGGGGCATTTTTAGAAAAGAATTATAGGTAAATTTTTAATATGTTATTGTCTGAAGCAGTGGATTAAATGTTGGCGCAAAAAATAGACTAACCAAAAACTTTAAGGAAAACTCTGCGAATCTCCACCCAGTCTTTGAAAAGCTCCAATATATTGCTGAGAATCTAGATGACCATGCACATACATAAAGCTGTGCACATGCCCAGGGCTACATGCCAGCTCTGCAAATACCAGAAGAGGTACTAAGCTCTCACTTCTGGTTAATCTTAATGGTCTGCACAAGCAGAAAGTAAAGGTGAAGGCAAAATTATAAAATGCCTATCTGATTGTGAAAGGCATGTCAAACTTACTATTTCCAAGCATTTAAGGAAATTTCTTTTTAATCATTGGGTAACCAAGCAGATATACTTCAATGCCCATACTTGAAAAAGAATACAGACCTCATGAAGTTAGCTCAGAAAAGTCAAGAAACAAACAGCAGGAACAAAAACAACAACCACAAATCCTGGGATGGGGAGAATTTCATATCTAGAGCTGCCATATGATTATTTCAAATGTCAAAATTTCAAAAAAAAAATATGAGGGCATGCAAAGAAACAAAAAGGCATAGCACATACAAAAAAACATACATATATATATCAATAGTAACTGTCACTGAGGAATCTCAGGCATTACTTATTAGACAACAGTTTTAAATATGTCCAAAAAACTAAAGGAAACTATGTTTAAAAGAACTAAAGGAAAATATGAGAATAATATCTCATCAAATGGACTATCAATAAATACACAGAACTTACCATAAATGTCAAAAAGGAATCTTAAAGTTGAAAAACATAGTTTAATTATAAAAATTTAAATTAAAAAAAAAAACTAGAGGTCAATATCAGATCTGAACAGACAAGAAGAATGAATCAGTGAACTTGAAAACAGGTCAACTGAGAATAGTCTAAGAAACAAAAAGAGAAATGAAGAAAACTGAACAGAGTCTCAGAGTTCTGTGGGACACCATTACACAGACAACAACACTAGCATAATGTAGAGTACCAAGATATGGACAACGCACATTCAAAATAAAAAGAGAAAAAGTGCAGAAAGAATATTTTAAAAAATAATGACAAAGAACTCCCCAAATTTGGTGAATAATATTCTGTTCATCAAAGAAACTCAAAAAATTCCAGGTGGTGGAAGGGGAATCAAGATCCAAACCTAGACAAATCAAGACTGTTGAAAGAGAAAGACAAAATTTTCTTTTTTGTAATATTTCAACTCCAGTTGATGTTCAATATTGCTTTATATTAGTTTCAGGTATACAGCATAGTGATTAGACATTTATATAATTTACAGTGGTCCCCCTAATAAGTCTAGTACCCACCGACCACCATACATAGTTATTACAATATTATTAACCATATTCCCTATGCCATATTTGACATACCTGTGATTATATTTTAACTACCAATTTGTACTTCTTAATTCCTTCACCTGTTTCACCCAGCCACCAATCCCATTTCCATCTGGCAACCATCATTTTGTTCTCTGTATCTATAAGTCTGTTTCTGTTTTGTGTGTTCATTTCATTCTTTTGATTCCACATATAAGTGAAATCACATGGTATTTGTCTTTCTCACTGACTTATTTCACTAAGCATAATACCTTCTAGGTCCATCCATGTGGTCAAGCACAAAAGGTAAGATTTCATTCTTTTTATGACTAAGTAATAATATTCCATTGTATATATGTACCACCTCTTATTTATCTACTCGTCTACTGATGGACACTTAGGTTGCTTCCATATCTTGGTTATTGTAAATAATGCTACAATGAACATGGGAGTGCATATATCTTCTCAAATTAGTGTTTTGGATTTCATCAAATTAGTACCCAAAAGTGCAATTGCTGGGTCATATGTTGAGTCTATTCTTAATTTTTTGAGGAACCTCCATACTGCTTTCATTGTGGCTGCACCAATTTGCAATCCTACTAACAATGCTTGACGGTACCCTTTTCTCCACATCTTTGCCAACTCTTGTTCTTTGTTGCTTTGTTGATAAAAGCTATTCTGATAGGTGTGAGGTAATACAGCATTGTGATTATAATGTGCATTGCTCTGATGATTAGTGATGCTGAGCATCTTTTCATTGCCCATCTTTGAGCATCTTTTATTGGCCATCTGTATGTCTTATTTTAAAAAATGTCTATTAAAAAAAGATAAAAAAATATCTATTTAGGTCCTCTACCCATTTTGCACTGGATTGTTTGGTTTTGGGTGTTCAGTTGCATGAGATCCTTATATATTTTGGGCATTCAGATGTATCATTGGTGAATATCATCTCCCATTCAGTAGGCTGTATTTTCATTTTGTTCATGATTTCCTTCGATGTGCAAAAACTCTTTAGTCTGATGTGGCCCCATTAGTTTATTTTCTCTTGTTTCCCTTGCCCAAAGAGACACATCTCAAAAAAAAAAAAAATATTACCAAGAGAAATGTCAAAAAGTGTACTGCCTATGTTTTCTTCTAGGAGTTCTATGATTTCAAGTCTTACATTTAAGTCTCTAATTCATTTTAAGTTTGGTGTATGTTGTACGGTGATTCAGTTTCATTCTTTTGCATGTACCTGTCCAGTTTTCCCAATACAATTTATCTAATGGACTGTGTTTACACAATTGAATGTTCTTGCCTCCTTTGTCATATATTTATTAACCACATAAGCGTGGGTTTATTTCTGGTCTCTTTATTCTGTCCCATCGATCTGCGTGTCCATTTTTACGCCAGTACCATACCATTTTAATAACATCATCTTGTAGTATAGTTTGATATCAGGTAGCATGACACATCCAATTTTGTTCTTCTTTCTCAGATTGCTGTGGCTGTCTGGGGACTTCGGTGGTACCACTTAAATTTCAGGATTATTTGCTCTAATTATGTGAAAAAAAATGCTGGGTGGGTTTTTTGATAGGAATTGAATGAAATCTATAAAATTCTTTGGGTAGTATGGACATTTTAACAATGTTCATTCTTCCTAACAACTTGCACAATATGCTTCCATTTATCTATAATACTGTCAATTTCTTTCTTCAACATCTTATAATTTTCAGAGTACATGTTTTTTACCACCTTGGTTAAATTTTTTTCGTGTTTGTTGATGCAATTATAAATGAAATTGTTTTCTTAATTTCTCTGAGAGTTCATTACTGATATATACACATACACCCAAATTCTGAATATTAATTATTTTATCCTACTACATTACACTAAATTCATCTATCACTTCTAATTGTTTATTGATGGGTCCTCTATGTATTATAGTATCATGTCTTTTGCAAAAAGTGATAGTTTTACATCTTCCTTTCCAGTTTAAATGCATTTTATTTTTATTATCTGACTGCTATGACTAGGACTTCGAGTATTATGTTGAGTAAAAGTGGTGAAAGTTGCTGGGCCAGCATGGCTATATGGTTGAGCATTGACTTATGAACCAGTAGGTCACAGTTTCATTCCTGGTTAGGGCACATGCCCAGGTTGTGGGCTCAATCCCGTACGGGGCATGCAGGAGGCAGCCGATTAATGACTCCTCTCTCATCATTGATGTTTCTATTTCTCCCTCTCCTTTCCTATCTGAAATCAATAAAGAAATATATATTTTTTAATAGTGGTGAAAGTGGACATCCTTGTCTTATTCTTGATCTTAATGAGAATAATGTAACCTGTCGGTTTGTCATATATTGCCTTTATAATGTTGAGGTATGTCCCTTCTACTCCCACTTTGCTGAGAATTTCTTTTTTTCGTAAATGATGGATTTTATTGAATGCTTTGTCTCCATCTATTGATATGATATGGCTTTTATCCTTCAATTTGTTATAAGATGTATCACGTTAACTGGGTTGCAGATATTGAACTGATTTTGCCCACCAGGAGTAAATCCCACTTGATTGTGATGTATAATATTTTTAAAGTATAGCTGACTTCAGTTTGGTAATATTTTATTGAGAATTTTTGCATCTATGTTCATCAGATATTGGCCTATAATTTTTTTTTGTAATGTCTTTGTCTCATTTTGGAATCAGAGTAATGCTGGCCTCATGAACTAAGCTTGAGAGTCTTCCTTCCTCTTGAATTTTTTTGATCACTTGAGGAAGACTAGTGTTAATTCTTCTTTGAATGTTTGGTGAAATTCTGTGAAGCCATCCATTCCAAAACTTTTGTTTGTTGGAAGTTTTTTTATTACTGATTCGAATACATTAGTAGTAACTAATGTGTTCAGATTCTTCTGATTCTTCTGGATTCAATCTTGGAAAACTATGTTTCTAGAAATTTATTTCTTCCAAATTGTCCAAAATTTTTGGCATATATAATTGTTCATAGTATTTTCTTATAATCCTTTGTACTTCTGTCATGTCATT